CCCCCCCCCCCCCCCCCCCCCGCTGAGCTCTACTCCCTACCTATTTGGAGCAACATAGGGAAATGGTACTCGACACACTTGTGTGTCGGTGCCTTTCCCTGTGTTGTTCCTTTTCTAGTCTTTCCTACCCGGGCGGTCTAAGACTAAAGTCCCGCTCCCTTACTATTGCACGTAATTAAGAACTGCTAAGTAGTCAGTAACTAATTCTTGTTGAAAAACCTTCTGTTGTTCGGACCCAGCACTTCTTTCCGTTCCCTCAAGTCAAGGGCTAAGTATTCAGTAACTAGAGTGCTAGGTAGTCAGTAACTAGAAGGTTTTGTAACTAGTGGGCCTCGTAACTACACCTATCTTTCTTTCTTCCCCTCTTAGCGCTGCTCTTTCTGTCTTTCTCTCCTTTTGTTTCTGAGGCTTTTTAGGTGACTATTTAGTTTTCTCACATGCGCGCTGAAAAAGCGCCGAAGCCGGCGACCTGTGTGTGTCCACCCCTGGACAAAGGGTTTTCCACCGCTACTCCTTCCACGGTTTTTCAACCGCCTTTTTCGAACACCTTCTACAGGCAGGGGGACAGAGAGGACTTGCAAGGCTCTGCCCAACGAAGCTCCTTGCAAGATCCTAGGATGCGGAAGCTGATCACTTCCGTGTACCTGCAACCGGAACGTTTGACCAAGCTGTGACTCCACTCTCCAAAATTTTTGATTCATGGTTCTTCACGTTTCCACCCCGAAACCTTTTTCCACCGCAGACGTGCAGCCGCGTTTGATCGTTTTGCAGCCACATTTGAACGTTTGAGTGCACTTGTGAACAATGTTCAACAATACGTTTCAGCGGACCTTGCCACCTTGCCGTTCCCTCACCTTTCTTCTCAGCGTGGGAATTGAGTCACTGAATACAAGTGTCAGAGTGTGTGTGTAACCTTTGGATTCACAAGGCTCCTTTTGGAGTTGTCGCTTTGATTTGTTTTTCGTCAGCAGGGGAGCGGTGGGCATTCTTGAAGTCACCGCTCAACGAAGACACTTCAAGTTTTGCTGTGATATGCAATCTGGACGCAGATTGCACGTACCTGCGAGAAGATGATGAACACATTGACACTAGTGGTCCACCCTGGCTCAGGCTGTTTGCAGGTCTTCTCAGGTTGCGGTAAAGTGCTAATGAGCTAATGCATTTGCAGTCACTCACGAACTGGCACGAACGTCGTCAACCTGTCGCGTGAACGTTGGAGCTTTTGGATTTGATGGCCTTTGAACATTGATGGACCTCCACTTCTTTTCAGGTTTCTCTCCTGTTCCCTCAGGACAACCGCTTTCAGTTCCGTACGCAAAATCATAAGTGTGTCTGGCCTCGTGCCAGCCCGGGTTGCTAGTGATGATGAGTGGCTCAGGATCAGAATGATACCGGCTACATGCTTATGCTTGTCACCATGCTTGATGCTCTGGCGTGAGCAGGGGGATGGGAGGCGAGGAAGAGGAGAGGAGAGAAGAGGAGAGGAGAGGAGCCGACCCGGAGCAAAAACGGACTCCACCTAGCTGATGCTATACTAGTAACAAGAAGCTACTGACTAGTAACAAAGGGCATCGCTACTAGGAGCAAGGACGCTGCTAGTAGCCCCTGGCCTTACTAGTAGTAACAAGAAGCTACTAGCTTTCGTGCCAGCTGTCACTCCAACCTCGCGAGCCGCAGCTGCAGCAGAGACCTTCAAGAGGGCAGCCTTCACATCTGAAGGGAATCGGTAGACCAACTCGCCTGAGAGGCCCAGTGGCACATAGAAAGCAACACAAACACTTCAACGAACAAACAGAAAGCCATAAAAGCAATGACGTTCACGCCTTTTCATTTCACAAGGCAAAATGGTTCTGTTCAACTCCATGAATCCAGTCTTCGAGACCTCCAGCTCAGATTCGGCGCCCAAAACCGCGGCAAGTGAAACCAGGCCCTTTCTGGCCTGACTTGAAAACTTCCCAGCAAAGCTTATCAGCACTTCTCTCTCTCTCTCTCTCTCTCTCTTGGTTAAAGGTCAAAAGGACCAAAGGATAAGAGAAACGGAAAAAAAGAACTGAAGCAGCTAAAGCAGCTGCCTCCTCCAAGCCCATACCGCCAGCTGCTGCCACATCAGAAGCCGTTACACGCGGCCCAGCTTGTCCCACTGCCTCCACTTTCAGCAAACGAACCCACGTTGAATACAATGCAGAAAGTGAGGAAACAAGGCAAGGAAACTCTCTGATCCCCACTTGTTTGACTTTTTGCGTCAATTGTGTGAGGTTGCAGCATTGTCGTGAGGTAAGCGATCAGCATAGATTATCACACACTGGCAGCCGGTGCAAGACACGATAGGTTAGAAGCGAAAGAACCTCCATCAGAAGCAAAATATACATCGTCAATAGGAACACTGGCCGAAGGATGCTGGCCAAGAGCAACTGCATGCATGCGCGCTAAGATAACCTACTCAAAAACCACCAAAGTGGACTAGCACCGTCCTTGCAGTCCTACGGAGTTGACTATGGTGATTTCGAGAAATTTGAGACCCCGCAGCATCCCACCCCCACCCTCACAAAAGCAAGACAGCATTAGCATTCTGCTTCTTTTTCTCTAGCCTGCACCACCTGCTCGGGAGGAAGCTGAAGGGCCTGAAGGCCGAATTTACGAGTGGCCATGCAAAGGCTACACGCATTCAAATGAAAATTCATTTGTATTTTCGTGTCAGGCGCGTTTTCCTCATGTCTGATTTTGTTTCTTTCCTTCCTGCTTACATGCAGAAAGCAGCTCTTCAGCCTAGTGGAGGCGATAATAGCAGCCCTTCTTACTCAGAAGGGTTGCATCTTACTCTAGTCAATCCAGCCCAGCCCAGGGACCTTGCACTCTCATACTTCCAGCTGTAACAAGAGGCATGCGTCCACAAGTCTCCCTCTGTCCAGGGGGCCTCTCCAAAGCTGTCAGACGCCCTTCGCGGCACATGGCTTTGGTTGGGCTGTCGGCCTGAAAGTGTTTCAAAACGACGCACCTGCCAAAAGGAAATGCACAAGCATGCCGTGCAAGTAAAGAAACCGCCTGGGCCCACAAACGTTACGGGCTGCAGAACGCAAAGCAATCCAAAGAGAACCTGAGAGCCAGCTCATGGCACGATACTTCGCATGCTTGGTCCCCACGTGGAGGATTTATCGGCATCGTTTCACCACGATGAATGGGATGGGAAAAAAAGCTAGAACAACAGAAGGCGACCATCAAATGAGTGTCAAAATCCTCAACCTGGGGATGAAACTTTCTAACTTAATCGAAACGTCAAATCCAAAAATACATGAACGAAGTTGCGATGGTCAGCGGCTGTAAGGCTTGCTTGCGGGCCATGGCGATTCGGGACATTGAATGAACAAGCGCACACAAAAAACTCTATCTGTTCTAAATGCGGTTCTCGAAATAGCTGTGTAGCTGGAATACCCAAGTGCCAGAGTTGGGAAAAAGATTGATGTTTGAGCCAAGTCACGATGAGCAAATCGACTAAGCATGCCAAAAATAAATGAATTGATTGAACTAATGAGCTCCTCTAATACGGCATAAAGCACCAACTTTGAGTCTTCCAGACTCCCCCAACGCACAGCTGCACTATCAGGATCAAGTGGGCATCACAACTTCACTGCAGAAGCTGCCTGGCGTCCTCTGTGTCTCATCCTCTGGCACCTTCGAAAGCTTGAGACGGGTGCCCACCCGTATGGTCACATTCCTTCCGGAATGAGCATCCAGTATACATGTATATATACACACACACATATATATATATATATACCATATAGATTCTATATATCTGTGTGTGAACCTCTCCTGTTCAAACATGCTTTTAAAGACACACAAAGGTGTCGACAGTCAACCAATGAGAGCGTCCAAGTGAGGCACAAAACGCTTCAAAGGGGCCATTCAAAAGAATGTGCAGAAAGCTGCAGTGCAGCGGTCAGGGATGGGCGGAAAGTTGACTGGAGAGGAAAGCCTGACAAGGAAGTAAATGGCGGCCAAAAGAAAATGGAAACAACAAGACCATCTAAAACCATCAAAAACATTGTCAGAAGTGTCCAGGAACACGAACAGGAATTTTGTGTAGCGTTTGCCTCACAAGCCAAAGACGCTCAAATTGGCATGACTGGAAAACAGCCAACAGCAAAGCAAAAAGCAAGCCAAGGGCAAAAAATCCAAACCCACAAAAACCAAACAATCTGCTTCGCACTGGAACGTCAGCGAGTGCCTGTGTTTTTGATGTTTGTTGTTTAAGCGAGAAGCATACTAAAAAACAGCTTTTTCCTGTGGAGGTTCGGCACAGAAGCCCTGTGTTTCTCAAGGCCAAGTCATGAGACTGATGGACCACAGTGCCACAGCATATGGAATTTGTTTTGGGCAACCATTTCAAGAGCCTTAAGTTTAGGTCAGAGCGCCCTAGCAGTGGTGGCGATGGGTCAAGCTGAAAGACTTTGATGTTCCATTCAGCAAGGAAGTTGTTCTGACGGAGATCTAGCTGTCCTGCTAAAACAGCCCTTTTTTCCCCCAATTAACAGCAAGACCATCCCATTTCCCTGGTGCGAGATCACATCTATATCTATATATAGCAAGGCTTGTTTTGGTTGCAATGCTGCTCAGCAGTGAAAAGGCCCCTTGCAGAAGCGTGTGCTATGTGAATGCTTTTGGGGTCCCTTTTCGATGTATCTTTAATTTCATCCTGCTGTGCAATCAACTCCTTCATCCAGAATCCAGAGGCTTTCCACCGGGATGCCTTGGGAAGTGAGCAGGAATCCTCAAGGTGTCTGCGGCAATCGAGCCATAAATCGATTTGGAGAGGTCTTTGAGGGTGGAGAGTGTGTGTGTGTGTGTGTGTCTGCTATTGGCCCGGTCGCGATCTGGCTGCAGGTGTTCTGCAGGTTGTGTAAGAGTTTGCGGCCTTCGTGCTGCGAAGGGCTCAAGTGAGGTGGCATCCATGCTTCTTCCGAGTTTTTCGTCCACATTGCATCCGAAGGCAGTAGACAGTGCTCTGGGATAGACCTCTTGGTGCCCTCCTTGTGGGACTGGGATGAGGATTGTATTGCAAAGCCGCCTTCCTCCTTGCGCAGCGCAGCCTGCTTGGCAGTGTGAATTCTTCCTGAGGTGTTGTTTTTGCACAAAACGCATCCTGCTGCACGCTTCCATAGCATCCATGCCGAGGTCGCAGATATTTGATTTCGGAAGATTGTTTCCAGCTAGATCTTGCCTTGGAGAGTGTCCGCAAGAAACCCTGATTTGTCTTTGTTGATCTTCAGTTTGTCAAACTCTTGCTGAAGCTGCATGTAGGCTTCAATTGCACATGGCCTCAACCTCAGGCTGTCTGTGGGCGAGATCAATGCTGCAAATGCCATCTGGGCCGGGCATGCGTGCACCTCTTAAAGGGTCCAAAGATATGGGGAGTGGCCCTTTGTTACTAGTAGCGTCCTCTTGCTCCAGTAGTAAGGCCAGGAGCCCCTAGTAGCATCCTTGCTCCTAGTAGCGATGCCCTTTGTTTCTAGTAGCTCCTGGCCAAGGGGATGAGGAGTGGACAGCCAAGTGAATGCTGTGGGGAACGCCGTGGCTGGGGCAAGGGCTGCATTCAAAGGATATGCTTGGTGGGCCTTTTATGTCAGTCAACGCTATCGTAAATGTGCGTGAGATAAAGGGAATAACACGAGAAAAAGGAAGCCAAAGCTTGTGTGATCAATTTTACGTGAGATTGGCCAATCCATCGATCCGTACTCGAGCCATAGGCACTAGACCACAGGTTACTCTGGGCAGGTGGATGGCCACTGCTTACATCGAATCATTTGCATCCTTAACGTGCAATTAGCGCAAACCAACCAAATGCAATCTTCAGCGGACTGCAACACTTATGACATCACGTGTTGCACAGCATGCTGGCAGCACGGTGTTATCTAGCCCAACTCTTCTGCTTGCACGCGGCGCATCCTTTCAATTGCAGTTGGCACCTGGTCATAACGGTAGCCGTCTGACGCCATTGGGTCCTGCAGCAAATCTGCAGTGAGACAAAGGGCTGAGCCTGAAACTGCACGGCTCCCTGACCCAAGCTATTAGAAACAAGTGCCACGCTAGTAGTAACAGGTGCCTTACTAGTAGAAACAAGAAGCTATTTTTCTTAAGTTACTGCAAGGCTCCCTGACCCAACCTAAGAATCCTCTTGTCGTGGGGCCGTGGGGAATGCTAAACTGTACATGCAGGAGCTATGGTGGCTAAGCCCTGACCACGCACGACGGCCAAAGATTAAATCGCCGGCACCACCCCTCACACCACTCACTAAGGCGCGGTCACTTCCGGTGAAAGTGAATCACCCACAAATTTGTGTCGGTCTTCCACTCATGGCTGCACCCAGATGGTGAAACACATGTCAATAGTTTTTTGGGAATGTCAGGGCAGCCCATCTTCACACTTGTTGAGGTCTCAGATGTACCCGAGTGCATGCACAAGTTGTTTAAAAGGTACTGGCACAAAGTCAACAAGATTGAAAAAAACAAGTGACTTCCAAATACCTTGATGGTTCTGCAGTGGGACCTGCCAATGGCAAAGCTGGTGGAATCTAAAGTTGGGTGGCTAGTCCACGAGCCAACAACGAAACGTGCAAGTCAAACATGCCCTCCTATGCAAGCATCGGAGAGGGAAAAATGCAAAGTGGCAAAGTGGTTGCAGGGGTTGTCCGCATCAGTTTGCATGTCAACACGCACTTGAAACAAGAACGCTATGCACCGGCACCGGCAGCCCTTTTTCAATGGGGGTCCAAAAATGATGAAACCTATGACACCCAAACACCACAAGTTTCCTTGGAGATAAAAATTATGTCTAGTTTGGAGGACAACTCAGATCTACCTACGGCAGCTACTTACTGTAAGGCCTCGCAAGCGATTCAGCTGCGTTTGTGTGTACAACTGCTCTCTTGGGAGTTCCAACGCCAGTCAGCAAATCAGCACACGAGCCTTGAGTTTGTTCAGTGGCCTTTTCTTGCGCCTTTTGAACAAACTAAGTTGTAGATCTTCTTGTTCAAAATGATTCTGGCGCCGCCGGCCTCTTTAAGAGATCGCTGGCCAAACTTACCGAAAGAAATTAAATGAATTGCCACAGCTGTTGGCCCAACGCCTAACTTTCCCAGTCTCGTTGCCTGGGAATCTTGGCGCTGAACTATCAATTGCCATCTGAACCTTCCTCATCCGAATCCAGCAAGGATGACAAACCTTCGCACAAGGCCAACTCAAAATGGCGGTAGGCCGGTAGGCCATCGCTCTTAGGTTGGAGGCCACTATTGGGGGGAGGCCCGACAAAACATGTTGCTTCTATATAATAGCTTCTTGTTACTACTAGTAAGGCACTTGTTCCTAGTAGCGATGCACTTGTTCCTAGTAGCTTCTTAATATGAGAGTGTTGTGAAAATGTGTGAATTTGTGTCAAGCCGTCCCAACACCACTGACTGTGGCTGAGGCCCACACTTCGACTGGACCAGTGCTTTGCAGCTGCCTGAATGGCTTCCTCACCTTTGGGGGGCCAAAGCTTCATGCGATGGAAGCAGGTTTCTCTTAGTCTGGAAATTGATCATTTGTCTCCCTCATCGGGGTTACAGGGCGTGTAGGTAAGACGTTTTCCTTCGGTTGTAGGCTCAACTCGGAATGGGCTCAAGGCCTCATGCACCCACTCACTACATCACTATATGTACAGGGAGGCCGTACCTGCTCAGCATAGTCCCTAGCCATGTCGGGCGCAGCATGCACAAGGACTATAAGACTATAAGAGTTGCACGACACTTTGTCTTGCACGAGGGCTGTTCCTTGCGCTGCCTCCCGCCAGGGAATTCCGGCTCTGGGTTCCTGCTGGGCCGCTGGAGCAGAAACAGACCACCTACGAGACCTGAAGTGGGAACGCAGAATGACGAGACAGTGGTCACCAGACGTCTACGAAATGAACTCAAGATGTAGGAGGTCCAGAGCGAAATGAAGCTCAGCAGCCTGCATGGGAAGGCCACAAAGCACTGGATACCCTAACATAGAAAATGCTAGCTGCTAGACACCTGCAGCAATGGCCTCCAACCTAATAGCAGTGGCCTCCCCCAAATAACCAGCGTGAGTGCACCGCTGCCTTCGTGAAATGAACTCCCACCAGTCCGAATGCCTGTTCACCAGAGGGGTCTTGATCTGCAAACAAGGCAGTCGGTGGCACTTGGACTACCACTGGAGATCAGTGGAGGGACGGGACACCCGAGCGCACGATGAGTTCCATCCTTGTGCAGTATGCAGCACTAGTCACTAGGATCGTACCTCCAAATGACGTCCACCCAAGGTGGCCAGTCTCTGACCTCTGAGGATTGAGTTGCGCAACGGCTGACAGCCAATTTTCCAAGGACCAAACATGTTACCGTATGTTCAGCTTGTGAAGTGCTCGCTGGCACTTGAGTTTTTTTCATGTTTGATCCGCCGCTACCCTCTCAAGCGGGGAGGGGTTCGCCCAACCAAAAGGGCAGCGCCGTGCAGTCGCCGTTGATCGCTTTGACTTGCTGTAGGGGACGCTACTAGGAGCAAAAGGCATCGCTACTAGGAGCAAGAAGCTACTAGGGGCTCCTGGCCTTACTACTAGGAACAAGGACGCTACTAGGAGCTTTTTCGAATGCCACTACATCTTTGCAAGTGCCGCTTGCACATGCAAGTGTCTGCTTTGTTACACTGCAGGCCTGTAGCAAGTGTCTATGAAATCTCTCTCTCTCTCTCCCTCTCTCATTGTAAGGCTTAAAATCTTAACATCTCTGAGCTTAGCAACTCTCTCAAAGAGATGCCTGTTACTGCCTGTCTTGGCTCCAAGCTGAGACCGTTATCCTGCTGTCCAAATTTTGCTATTTCGCCTCGGGCCGCATAGAAATGAAAGTTCAGAACTCCGTAACTTTGAATTTGGGTAATTACTAGTAGCAAATGGCATCGCTGCTAGGAGATCTAGGAGCAAGGACGCTACTAAGGTCAACAGAATGATGGGATCCGAAAAGGCAACACTTTCTGCCGTCGTATTCCGCACCAATGGCTCGACACCTGCACCTTCACAAATCTACATTAACCGATTCATCTATGTCTCCACAGCACACGCACCAAGACTTTTCCACTAATGTTGAGGGCACTTTTGAGTCAAGTCAACCAGTGAAAGGCACTGTTGCCGAAGAATGACTTCAGCCGCTTTTATAGTATTGAAGGTTTGCAGCTGAGATTGCTGAGCAAGCCTTCAAAATTTAAGGCGTAGCCACCGGGTTGCCTGTTTTAGGGCATGGTAGGGCAAACACATGAGGCAAGCTTACTCAAAGAATCCTTGCCACAAGAACCGGCTTAAGGACTGTGACTGTGACATTGATGAGTAGGGAAGAGCAACTTCCATCTCAGCTAGAAGAAGCCCAAAGCTGCAACCGGAGAGGAGCAAAAAGAAAGCAGAAGGAAGAAAGACCTTGGCCAAACTAGGCCAAGCTCCTTCAATTCTGACAGAGGGCAGAACTTTGACGACGAGTCAGCTTTGCTTGAAGAAACACTTTAGCAGCGGTCCACCACAAATACCAAAAGGACAGCAAGAACTGAAACCCATCCAACTTAGAGATGGAGGCCATCGCTAGTAGGAGGACATCACTATTAGGTTGGAGGCCACCGCTCGTAGGTTGGAGGCCATTGCTAGTAGGTTGCGGGGCCATCGCTAGTAGGTTGGAAGCCATCGCTAGTAGGTTGGAGGCCATTTCTATTAGGTTGGAGGCCATTGCTAGTAGGTTCGGGCCATTGCAAATAGATTACTAGAGATGGATTGGGTTCAACTGATCAAGAACGAGGGCTATCAGGAATTCGCTCCTGAAGTGAAGGGAGAGGCTGGCGAGGGCCAAGGCAAGAGCAATGATGGCAGGAAAAACTGTCTCAAAGTAGGGATAGCAAAGCAAGGGCTAATAGAGGGACTGAAAGGAGAACCGCCGAAGTTTAACGGCGGCGCAAACAACCAGAGCAACTGCTGGCAAGTTCGACAAATTGAATCACCCCAAAGCCAGCAGCAACACATAGCAACAGTGCACGAATCCAAACACAACTACGACAGTCACGAGGAGAGGGCAAGACAATGTCACGAAGTCAACCCATTGAGTTTCACGAGCTGTTGTTTTGAATGTAGCAACTTCTGAGAACTCATGGAGCAACGGGAGGAATTCATGTAACATGTTATAAAACTCCATGGAAGGACATGAGGCCCTGGTAAGGCTATGGCGAGCCCATGGAAAGCCAAAAGAACAACATAAAATGAAATGGTTAAAAACAACGGTACGGCCCCTTCAAAGGGGGTCTCGCCTTCCTGTCTATATATGGGGATCCATCATGGGACAGTGCGAAAATCTGTTCAACAAGGTCGTGTAGGAGCAGGTCAGCTTAAGCTTGGTGATTTTAATATCATGGAGATGGATACATTGGCAAAGGGCAGTGTTTGCATATTGAAACGGCTGGAAACGTGCAGAACACACCTTGCAACGAACAAGCAACAAAACTACGAAACCGTGACAAACGGGTCACGCTGCACCTTCGAAAAGGCAATGACTTGGCAATGGCTACAGCATCTGCATATGCATTGCATCTTCGTGGAACAGAAGCACAACAGGTAACCACATGGTAAACACATGGTTCCGTTAGTTCCCTCTCAGACCTGTGACATCTCCCAAGGCGACTGCTCAACATGTTGTCAACGAGGACATCCATGCCCTCGAAAACATGCTCGAACCCAGAAACCTGGCACAACTCCAAGGAAACATTGGTTTCAGGCCAATCAAAAAATGCTACTCGAAGCAACTGGCAGTTGTAAAGAGATGTGGGAAGTAGTGAGGACTAGCGAACTCCGAAGACGGAGGTTGTCTCTTGTCGCATCTTATCAGGTCTCTAGTTGCTCTGGTGTTAGCCTTTTTGTTGCTCCAAAGTTCTGGGGTTTATTAACTCCAGTTAAAACCTCAGACTCTTTTGAACGGTTTGTTCTGTAAGGTCCCGATATTCTTAATCTTTGTGTTTGCTGTTTGTTTGATGAACCTTGACTGCATTTGTCAACACAGAACTGCTTATCTATAATCCTCTATATCTCTCTCTCTATCTTCTGAATTCAGCATCTCCTTGTTCCATCTCCACTTTGTCCATCCCACCATCCACTCACTGCTCCGCATGAAGCTGTGAGCGTTAACTTTCGTCTTCATATTGATTTCAAAAACGTTTATAGTAGTAACAAGGGCCTCGCTACTAGTAACAAGGGCATTACTACTAGGAGCCAAAAAGCTACTGGTAGCGTCCTTAGCTTTTCGTCTTTTGCAATTTGTTGAATAACGTGCGGGAGACTACATTTGCTCTTCAACGGTTGCAGCCCTTCGATGCGTTGCCTGAACTCGGTGGTTGGTTCAGTTGCCCGGACCTCTTGGGAAAACACCGCGTTTCACCTATATATATATAAATAAGTTATATATAGTGGGTTTCTTTGTTCAATTTTGGCCCGTGTGCTGCTTGGATTTTCCTTTTTCCTTGTTTCTTGCCAGTTACATTTTGAATTTAAAATATTTCTGCGAAGCTTCAGTCGCAAGACTGTCCAAGCACAGCGTTGTCAGCTAAAATGCTGGAAACGTTCAACATGAAGTTATTGTTTGTGACCATTGCCATTGGGGATTAGGGTGTTCAAAGGTTTCTTTGGGAAGACGTTGCACTTTTGCACGAGCTGTCTCCACTCAAAACTGAGTGTCCAACATCATGCGGTTAAGTTACAAGTGATGTTTCACAATCTCTCAACCTATAGAAACACACGCACTTCTCTGAATGTCAGCCGGTGGTTGGTCATAATGCACATATGTTTGTAGCATGGGCGTCCAAAGTCTGAATCTGTGCCTTCTGATTTTTCTGCGGCCGAGGTACGCAGGATCACAGCCAACGAAAAAGGAGAGCACGGAGCACTAATCCAGGTGATGTTCGTGAAGGGAAGCAACCCCGTAAGTAGGGAGATAGCGAGACGGAGAAGGAAGAACCAGATATGCACAGGATTGACGAAAGTGCCAAAGCCAGAAAAACCACTGAACCTGCCCGTTCCAAGCTTCTGCAATGAAGTAATATGCTTCGCACTGAGAACGTCAGCGCCTTTCAACTTCCAAGTCCATCCCAGGGGATCTGAACATGCATACTGAAGCGTGCAGTGACACACACTTTTCGAAATAAGCATTTACAGTCGGAGTGCAGATACAAAATCGCAGGAAAAGCAAGAGCCACGGGACCCGAACAAACAACCGAGCAAAACCCAATCATACGATGTTGACACTTTGCAAGCCGGTGAGGAGTGACGTCAACATAAGCCTCTAATTTCGAGGCTCAGCCCCAAAAGCCAAACTGAAACGAGGATAATGTTGCTTGATATCCTCAATATGTTGTTGAGTCAGCGCCTGGTTCGAACAGGCCTGAATGAAGTAATTTTCGGGCTGCAGGACAACTACTGATTGAGACTGACAAGTTCGGGGATTGCAACAAGCAAAGTGTTTCCCGCAAACGGATCCGGGCGGAACAGTTGCACTTGTAGGATTCGGAAAATGAGGAAACTCTGGGCTTTATCCGAATGCATTATGACTGTCGCTTGGCTATATTATCCGGAAACGTTGGCGCTAAGTCGCGATTATGTGACCTTGAGTGGCTATCGCTGCCTTTTAGGCGTGTTCTCGCTCAAAGCTGATGTGATTCCCAATATTCTTTGGCGCAACATTTTGCTAACCTGTCGGCCTCAGAGTTTCCACTAGTCCAGTGATCCGGCTGTTGCAAATCTTCAACATGATTCCCCTCTGCTGTTTCCTTTTTTGACTTTTCTTGCCTCTTGTTCTCTTCGTCCTTATATGTGTTTTTCATATTTTTTGCAGGTTCTTGTTTTCCCACCTTTTGTCTCATCTTCTTGCAATATGCGAGCCTTTCGCGTAAGATGGTGGTAGCAATGAGGTCACAACAACTTAAAAGTGCTAGATAGATACCCAATGGATTCGCGGCATCCTCTTCGCAAACTACTGTGAGGAAAGCCTCCGGACACCCAAGACCAACTGCACTCCGCAGTCCAGCTTCGCGTCTAGAGTCATCATCGTGAGACAGTCTGTGTGGACTGTCTGCTTAAACTGCATTTCGAGTCTAGAGGTCTCTAGAGGCCTCTCCAGCTTCCGCACTTGTGGCATTTTCGATCGAGATGCGCTACATCCTTACGACGCACTGTCCGGAATCCACAAACCTACCTCGTGCTACCGGCGGGAAGTTGATGTGATTTTCGGCTTTTGACGCAAGTCCGCCTTGTGATGCCCTGCCCGGGTTCCACGTCCTGGCGTGATCCGGATTGGTGAGCACGGCCGTCCTGCTTTGGCTTGTGCGCACGCAGACTGACAGAGTCTACCGAGCATGTGCAAGCCAAACTTTACACGTCAAGCGTCCACCCTTTTCGTTCTCCACACGCACACGTTTCATGAAAGAGGAAGTTTCTGACAGAATCCGAGCATTTTGGAGCGCACACCCGTCAGTCTCGATCTATGTCTACGCGACGGAACTCTTTGCAACGTGCACACGAAGAGACGACACTGCGCAGGGTTTCGCACAGCCGGGGAAAGAACAGCTGATCGGTAGATACCTCGACGCGTGGACCTCGAAAAGGCGTGCAAACTTGGTGCACAGGTTGTTCATGTCCTTTTGCGGCACAAAGTCCTCACGCGCAAAATGCCTACTTACGTACAACACATGGTATCGTAACAACTTGCTTTACATCAACGGTTGATATGTGAGTCTATCCAGTTCTTCAATTTCTGCACTTTCGCTTGCGAAAGACAAGGGTACGAGAAACAGAAATCCCTATACTTTGTCCTATTCTTGTCGTTCTTTAATGCCTTTAGACTCTTAGACCTTTCCTTTCTGGTTTCTTGCTTCCAGTGAACCATCCACTCCCCAAAAAATAGTTTTAATATAAGTACAAAGACCTCTTCTCTTTTCTGCTCTTTATTTGTCGGGCCGTCTGAATTCTTTAGACCCAACTTCCAACCTGTTGTCCTTTCGTCCTTTCGTCCTTCCCTTCCCTTCCCTCCTTCCATTCTTCTATCTCTCGGAGTAAACAAAGAACTGCCTTGTTTTGACAATATGCCTACTTGGATGTCATACAAACAGTGGCTTGCTCCGACATGCCTGTTGAAGCCTGTTCTTGAGGTCATCCTTCGACACAACACCATCACCGTCAGCATCTAATGCTCTGAACGCCTCGCGCAAAGAGCGAACGAACTGCCAACCATGTCGAAGTTTCTGTGGAAGCCTCCGGCTCTATGCTCTCATTGCCACCTGCAAAGCACATTGTGCTTCTTCAGGCTCGGTCGAAATTCGTTACTGTTGTGCCCCACGGCTGAGTACGCGGCTGTTCAGGCCAAGCTCTTTCCATATTCGGGCCCTCAGAGCACGTGAAACTTCAAGACTTGAAGTCTGAAACGGCTGCGGCCTTGAACCTAATAGCAACGGCCTCCAACCTACTAGCGATGGCCTCCAACCTAGTATCGGCCTCCAACCCAATACAAAGGAAGGAGATTACAGCAACGACCACGGCAAACAGTCTATGTAAGGCTTGCTCCACAGCTGCATCGCAAAGAAATTCAGGAGCAGGGCGTGCACCGGCCTGGGGAAGCATGGGCTTGGCGCAAAAAAACAAAGACAGCAAAAATTGCCTACGGTCTACAGGTCCAAAGAAAACAAATTGAACTAGGGGCTCCTGGCATCGCTACTAGGCGCAAGGACGCTACTAGGGGCTCCTGGCCGTACTACTAGTAACAATAATGCTTAGTGACAAAAGGAGTTCCAAAGACTTTGTTAACTTTTGAAACCGTTACGGCGAGGGTTCTATTATATACATCCTTACTAGTCCTAGTAGTGGCCTCCAACCTAATAGCAACGTGCTAAGCTTAAAGATAAGAACAAATTCACAAGTTTCACTGCGCCGATTCACCTTCCAGAGTCTGGTTCAGGCAGCACTTCAGGATGATCTTCAAAGTACTGACCTTAAAGCGCAAAACAAACGAGGAGTGCCGATCAGTCTGTAGGCATCCACGGGAGAATAGAAGGTTCAACGGGCCAGGAAACAAAAGGCCTAACTTGCATTCTTGCCGGAAAGGTGCTCGGTTTGTTCCTGAGACAACTGCCAATTGAAGGAGCGTCACGCTTCCGCCAAAAGTCGACTATGCTGGCCACCTGGCAGCGCCCACGTGCCATCCAAATCTTGTGGCTTCAAAAAACACAAAAGCTGAGAACAGCTGGAGCAATTTAGAAAAGCCATTTCTGGGCGATCTCTTGGCAACTTGCCGCTCGGCGACCAGCGCTTTGAATTCCAATGCCAAAATGATGCGCCAGTTGCAGTAGATGTGGACTAGTGTCTACTACCATACTCGCTTGTGCTCTGTATAGCTCCACTGCCACCAAAGCCATGGGGGAACAGAAAACACCTGCCCGAGTCGTGATATACTGTAGAGTCCCTTTGCAAAATGCGGACCGATAGCGCCTTGTAAATCCGGTTGAGATCCAACGACTCTTTGGCCTCACCCGTGTAGCATGCAATTATATTCAGTGAGTCTTGTTGTGTGTTTGCGTTGCTTCTTTGCCCCTACAAAGCTGGCTAAAGAAATAAAGCCACAAGCAAAGTGGCAAATGATTTGCATCTAAATTTACACAGCTTCATGGAAGCAATTTCAAGACGCAAATCTAGGTGTTTTCGGTGTCGTGAGTCTTCGATTCTTTGCATCTGGTCTCACCTTCACGTCGTTGTGAGGTTCGGCCCTGGGTTTCAGGTAAGAACAACCCGAGGCAACTGTCCATGACGGTGGCGCGGTTCCAAAGTACCTTCTGGAACATATGGGTGGGGCATGATGGGGCACGAACAAGCCTTCGGATCTTGAGCTTAGACATAGGTTCAATATACTTCGACAGGTTTAATAGGCTGGAGGCCATTGCTGGCCATTGCTCTTAGGTTGGAGGCCATCGGAAACAAGGACAAAAGACAAGGAAGAAAGGTTTAGTGGCCGGCTTAAAGCCCTGGACCCGAACCTCCTTTCCTCCGACTCCTCCACCCCAACTCACAACAACTCACACTCCTTGAGTTTCGCTCCCTCACTCTCAGAACAAGGATGCTACTAGGGGCTCCTGGCATGGCTACTAGGACTAGGAGCAAGGACGCTACTAGGGGCTCCTGGCATTGCTGCTAGGAGCAAGGACGCTACCAGGGCTCCTGGCCAGCAAGGACGCTACTAGGGGCTCCTGGCCTACTAGGAACAAGGACGCTACTAGGGGCTCCTGGCATGGGAGGTACTCAAAAATGGAAGTGAGACCTTCCAAACTACTACAAATACAAAAATCTTCACTCGTTACATGACGAACCACATTGCCCCCGCTCGTGAGATAGCTCAGGACTAGCAGCTGGAAGGAAAGCAAACAACTCAGAGAAAAGTCGCAAAGAACACGAACTCAATTGAAGCCTGCGAGAGTCGTGGTGTTTAATGAAAAGCTCACGACGGGCATTGGACTAAATACTCTGGGCCACACTCTGTTTTGGGCCAAAGAAAGGGCCTATCTGCAACCTTTTTGGGAGCCAGGTTGAAAGCCAGTGTGTCTGGCCTTGGAGGTGTGCCTAGGTTGGGCCGCTTCATTCCAGGGCCAAAGATTCCAAAAAATTGTCCCATTTTTGTTCTTCTCCTTCTCCTCCTTCTCCTGCTTCTTTCTTTAGCTCTTGTTTTTATAATTGCTATATTGTGAGCTGATTTCGGGTAATTCCCAAACCCAAAAATAACCAAAACGAACAAACAAGAGGAACGGAGAGCGTGAAAGTCAGACAACCGTATGCTGTCTGAAGCCGCCAAAACATTACAACTAGACGACGAGTGGCCCGAAAGCATTTTTCATCACGTAGGAAGTCAGAGTGCGAGTTATCTGTTAAGTGTGTTATAAGTGTTCAGTGTGAAGTGTTAAGTCGAGTGTGTTGAGGCAGTGTGTGGGTCTCTGTGTGTGTGTATCTATGTCTGTGTGTGTATGTGTCTCTCTCTGTATGTCTTTCTGAAGCGCAGGAGCACCTGTCTTCTGCAAGTTCTTCACCTCTCGAAAGTCGCCTCCGCGTAGTAAAGTTGTACTACAAAGTCGCCAGTTCTCATCTTCCAGCTCCACAGATTGCTCCGTGTACTAAAGTTCTACTACCAAGTCGCCAGTTCTCATCTTCCAGCTCCCCAGATACTCCGCGTACTCAAGTTGTACTACCAAGTCGCCAGTTCTCATCTTCCAGCTCCCCGGATACTCCGCGTACTAATGTTGTACTACCAAGTCACCAGTTCTCATCTTCCCACTCCCCAGATACTCCGCGTACTAAAGTTGTACTACCAAGTCGCCAGTTCTCATCTTCCAGCTCCCCAGCTACTCCGCGTACTACAGTTGTACTACAAAGTCGCCAGTGCTCATCTTCCAGCTCCCCAGCTACTCCGCGTACTAAAGTTGTACTACAAAGTCGCCAGTTCTCAGTTCTCAGCTTCCAGCTCCACAGATTGCTCCGCGTACTAAAGTTGTACTAGAAACTCACCAGTTCTCAGCTTCCAGCTCCACAGCTACTCCGCGTACTAAAGTTGTACTACAAAGTCGCCAGTTCTCAGCTTCCAGCTCCACAGATTGCTCCGCGTACTAAAGTTGTACTAGAAAGTCGCCAGTTCTCAGCTTCCAGCTCCCCGGCTACTCCGCGTACTAAAGTTGTACTACAAAGTCGCCAGTTCTCAGCTCCCAGCTCCACAGATTTCTCCGCGTACTAAAGTTGTACTAGAAAGTCGCCAGTTCTCAGCTTCCAGCTCCCCAGCTACTCCGCGTACTAAAGTTGTACTACAAAGTCGCCAGCGCTCATCTTCCAGCTCTCCAGATACTCTGCGCACTAAAGTTGTACTACAAAGTCGCCAGTTCTCAGCTCCCAGCTCCACAGATTGCTCCGCGTACTAAAGTTGTACTAGAAAGTCGCCAGTTCTCAGCTTCCAGCTCCCCAGCTACTCTGCGTACTAAAGTTGTACCACAAAGTCGCCAGTTCTCAGCTTCCAGCTCCACAGATTGCTTTCGCGCGCTCGACACGCACGATCTCCGCAGAGGGTTGCGCGGGCACCCGCCAAATCGCACTCTCGCCTGCCCTTCGCGCACTCGACACGCACGATCTCCGCAGAGGGTTGCGCGGGCACCCGGCAAATCGCACTCTCGCCTGCATTTCGCGCATTCGACACGCACGATCTCCGCAGAGGGTTGCGCGCACACCCGGCAAATCGCACTCTCGCCTGCATTTCGCGCACTCGACACGCACGATCTCCGCAGAGGGTTGCGCGCGCACCGGACGAATCGCACTCTCGCCTGCATTTCGCGCACTCGACACGCCCGATCTCCGCAGAGGGTTGCGCGCGCACCGGACAAATCGCACTCTCGCCTGCATTTCGCGCACTCGACACGCACGATGTCCGCAGAGGGTTGCACTTTCGGTTGACGCTGTTCGTCCCGCACTCCGCCTTTAAGAGAGAATTTATAAAGTGGGGAAATGTTTTTTCATTAGGACATCTCCCGTGCTAGTTTTCCATACTCACACTTGCCTACTCATTGCATGCTTGTATACTCATTGCGTGCTTGCATACTCACCCTTGCATATCATGCTTGCATACTTACACTTGCATACTTTGACACTGGCATACTTCGCACTTGGATGCTTTCGCTCTTCCAGTGTGTGTGTGTGTAAGTGTAAGTGTCGAAGTGTAAGTGTTCAAAGGATTTTCCGGAAGAACCCTTCGCAATGCTTTCGGGAAAAAAGGTGTGGGTATTGCGTCGGGTGGCTTGCTTGGTTCCCATCCACACCCAACTGAGAGATCTCAAGCGCCTGTTACTACTAGCGTGGCACTTGTTACTGCTTCTGGGGCCCTCTGGGGGCTCCACAATTTGCACGACATATCCATCATCGTCCAATTCAACCTGCGACGTCGGGCGAACTGCGAACTGATTCGGCTCCAAATTAGCTCACCTTTCGAGCAAAGCCCAAAAGCGTCACCCAGACTACTCTTAAAGCAACGCAGATCCGATTCGATTTTAATATGTTGAATAATATATATTGACTGGTTCAGAGGGGTTCTATGTACATATTTATATAACGCGCATTGGCAGACAGGACTCCACTCCACGGTCTCTTGAGGTCACAAACGAGAGACGTTATATATAGACATAGTTTCCCGAAACAATACGAAGTTTGCTTCACAACATCTTGCCGTGGAAGAACTCATGCAACCGTGCAGACGCAGCTTGAAGGAACACGGAAAACAAAATCGGAATCCCGAATACTAGCAGTGACTGACACAGCAATGGCGGTAGCAATGGCTTAGGAATAACGTGAACCGCAACCGCAGCAACCAGTAAGACCCATCACAGCTGTGGTTTCAATGGTCCCCCTTTAATATGTTCATTCCAGCCTCAAATCCAACTTGGCAACCCTCGCACCACGCGCATTACCCAGCTACTTTCGCAGCACACTTGTTTGGGTTGGAAAAGCAGGACAGAATTGGGCCCAAAAGCAAGCAAAGCAGCGGGCACTCGCATGAGTGTGTGTGAAATGGTTTGGGCTGACTGTTTGTGTTGGCCAGAACACGGAAATCGGGAAGCGCAAACAACCCGCAAAGTAAAGATCACGAAATACAAACCCCAGAACCCGGAAAAGAAGAAAACAGAAAGAGCAAAACTTCAGGGTATCCAAAAGCAACGAAACTGGGAGTCAGAAGGTAAGCAGGAAACCGGAAGGACCTGCTCGAGTGATTGTTTAAGTAGAAAGCCCACCACAAACAAAAAAATAACTTGATAAAGAAGAACCTAATAGCGATGGCCTCCAACCTACTAGCGATGGCCTCCCGAAACAGCTGAATGGCTGAATGTGCATGGCACTACCTTGCACTTCAGTCAGGGCAAGGTGAGCAAATGCAAGTAAAAGTTCGGCTCATGAGTTGCAGGCGGTGGAAGCTGTAAAGATTTAGCGTGACCCCAGCACAAACACAGTGCAACTCGATGTTGTGTCCCAGTACGGTCGCCGGACCCCGGTCACGCCTCATCATCGTACCTTCCGCACAATAGCATACCATATTAGACCTTTCTTGTTTCTAATAGCGATGCCTTCCAACCTAGTAGCGATGGCCTCCAACCTACTAGCCCAGGTTTCCCCATGGTGGCAGAACTAGAGGAAAGCCGCACTGCCTTTCTCACCCCATACTATGTTGGCATGAAAGCAACTCTTGGGCACATCTTAGACTTGGTAGCTGTGGCATTCTCGTAGCTACTAGGCGCTCCTGGCATGGCTACTAGGAGCAAGAAGCTACTAGGGGCTCCTGGCCTTACTGCTAGGAGCAAAGAAGCTACTAGGAGCAAAGGGCATCGCTACTAGGAGCGATCGGACGCTATTAGGGGCTCTTCAAACAAGAGCGAGTCCGCCAGACTCAGGAGCTCACTGCATCCAACCAGGGTTAGGTGCCTGTCGCAACGGAGAGACTCTGAAACGCACCACGCGGATTCCGCTCCAATCCCGATGTGCTCCTTTTTCAGTTGACAACAAAAAGATTGAAGTAATGCAACCGCTCCTACAGCCAAAGCACCTTCTCCACTCTTTCCCTTTTCAAAATAAGCTACTAGGAACAAGTGCATCGCTACTAGTAACAAGTGCCTTACTAGTAGTAACAAGAATTAGTAATTAAGGTTACAGTAATTAGAATTATATAAACTCAATTAGAATTAAACTCATCTGACTCATCTTGCCCAAAACCTTTTTGCCGCCCAGTTGCACCAAAGGTCTCCCTGAGACCGACTCTCAAAACAGAGCCGGGAACCGGAATCACCTGACTGCCACAAAAAGAAACATGTTTTAAGCATACAGAACTCCCACAGCTACCCCTATACTCGAGCCAGGGTAGCCCCTATCCCAGGGGCCTAGGGAGCTAGCCTAGCGCTACCCATAGGCCTATCATAGGCCTATGCCTAGGCTAGGCATAGGCCTATCCTAGACCTATGCCAAGGCTAGGCATAGGCCTATCCTAGGCCTATGCCTAGCGCTATCCATAGGCCTATCCTA